TCCTTCAAAAACCTTCGGTTTCGGAAGAATGTCGAAATCGTGCGTCCAAAAAACCTACAAAAACACAAGGTTTCGCAACACGGGTTTTCAACAAAATTGTGCGCGCGCGCTCTTGCGTCGTCGTCGTCGTCGTCGTCCTCCCTCCTCCCTCGTCGTCGTCGTCGTCGTCGTCGCCGTCGTCGTCTTCTGTCTTTCCTCGTCGTCTTTGGCGTCGTCGTCGTTTCCGTCGTCGTTGTCGCCGTGGTCGTCCTTCCTCCCTCGTTGTCTTCGTCGGCGTCTCGTCGTTGTCCCTCCTATTTCGTCGCCGTCGTCGTCGTCGTCGTCGTCGTGGTCTTCACTCCTCCCTCGTCGTTATCCTCCTCCCTCGTCGTCGTCGTCCGTCGTCGGCGTCTCGTCGTCGTCCCTCCTATTTCGTCGCCGTCGTCGTCGTCTTCGTCGTCGTTGTCATCGTCGTCGTCTTCCCTCCTCCCTCGTCGTTGTCGTCGTCGGCGTTTCCGTCCTTCCTCCTTCTTCGTCGTTGGCGTCGTCGCCGTCTTCCCTCCTCCATCGTCGTTGTCGTCGTTGTCGCCGTCGTCGTTTTTTCTCCTCCCTCGTCGTCGTCTCCGTTGGCGACGTCGTCGTCGTCTTCGTCGTCGTCGTCGGCGTCGTTGTCGTCGTCGTCGGTGTCGTCGTCGTCGTTGTCGTCGTCGAAAACATTGGAGACGTCGTCGGTGTCGTCGCAGTCGCTGTCGGCGGCGCCGTCGTCGTCGATGTCGCTGTCGTCGTCGGCATCGGTGTCGTGGCCAAGTGCCACGCAGTACCTACCGTCACGGTCTTGTCTGAAGATGTCTTGCGTCCAAGTTGCGGGTGGGAGGGTGGGATGTTTGCACGAGCAGTGGAGAGGACAGCTTCAAGACAGTCGAAGTGGATTACACTCGTAAATTCGCCGGCCCAACGGGCCAGGGCGTGCTAAGATCTCCGGTACCTGGTTAACAGTATTTCTAGTTCGCGCGCGCGGGGCGGCCCCTGCGGGTCCCCGGACGAAAAGTACCCCGGCAAGGTCCCGGCAAGGTCCCGGCAAGGTCGGGCCAGAGATGCCGGAGCCCTGTTACAGGGCCCCAGGACGGGCCAAGAGGTCCCCAAGAAGCCTCCAAGACGGTCCAAGAGGGCCCCGAGACGGCCAAAGATCGCCCGAAGACGCCCAACAGGGCCCCAAGACAGCCCAAGAGGCCTCCAAGACGCCCCAAGGGCCTTCCAAGAGGCCTCCGAAGAGGGCCCCAAGAGGCCAAAATCGTTGATTTTCATTGTTTTTTTCGATGTTTTTTGCGTTCTGGCTTTTTCGGCTTCCGGACGCTCCAAGACGGCCCAAGAGGCCCCCAAGACCGCTCCAAGACGGCCCACGAGGCTCCCAAGACGGCCCCGGAACGGCCCAGGAGGGCCCCCAAGACGGCCCAAGTGCCGCCCAAGACGGACCAAGAGGCCCCAAGACGGGCCCAAGAGGGGCTCAAGAGGGGAACCGAGAACTGAAAAATCGAGCCCTCCGCCCCAGAAGGCGCCCAGGAGGCCCCAAAAAGGCCCCAAGAGGCCCCCAAGAGGCCCCCAAGACGCCCCAAGAGGCGCCCAAGAGGCCCAAAAGAGGCCCCAAGAGGCCCCAAAACGGCCCCCAAGAGGCCCCAAAACTCGGCTAGCCCACAACGGTGCGACAATATGGGCCGGCGGAATGAGCGAAGCGATTAAATTCCACCACAGAGCTGGCACCACATAAAATGCACCACCTTGCTTACACCACATAGAGTGCACAACATAGCTTTTTCACAATATTGATGTCATATTTGCACGGCCTAAATTGTACCACACATACTACACCTCCTACCTTACACAACATAGATTACACCACCTAGCTGATACAACATACATAGCACCACATATATTGAACCACGTACATGTCACCACACGGATTGCTCCACAAGTGTTGCGCCACACAGCTTGCACCACATACCATCCACCACATGGATTGCAACACATAGCTTGCGCCACAACGATTTCACCACATAGCTTACACTACATAAGTTGCACCACACAGATTGCACAACATAGATAGCACCGTACATTATGCTAGAACGCACTGCTTGGGGACCACGCTGGCGAACATGTGTATATGTATATATATATATACACACATGTATGTACGCAAACAGAAACCATACCCTTGACCTCGAACCTCGATCCTCGAGCACAGAGGCCACAAGGGGCACTGCCCACCAGGCTCAAGCAAATCAGTCTCCCTCCCTCCGTCCGGCATCGTGGCGCAATCCTGTGTATGAGCGTAAGAGCGGGCGGGTAACTACAGCTTCTCAACGTCGGCACACTGTCCGCGGGGGCGAGAGCGGGGGGGCGGGGAACCTGAGGGTTTGGGGCCCATGTCCGGGGGCCCCCGATCTTGCCGCCAGCAGCGGCTGGCTCCCCCGAAAAGCCGACCGCGGCACCTCCAAGTAGATACAGGCCGCCCGAACTGTCGGCAGGCGCCCAGTATAACAGCTCGCAGTCATCATCATCATCATCATCATCATCATCATCATCATCATCATCATCATCATCAGCAGCAGCAGCAGCAGCATCATCATCACCAGCATCATCATCATCATCATCACCATCATCATCATCAGCAGCATCATCAGCAAAAAGCATCATCATCAGCATCATTATCAGCAGCATCATCAGCATCATCATCGTCATCTTCATCACAATCGTCCTCATCATCGTCATCATCAGCATCGCCATCACTATCACCATTACTATGACCATCATCAGAATCATCATCATCCTCATCAGCATTATAGTCATCCTCACCAGCAGCATCCTCATCGTCATAGTCATCGTCGTCATCATCATCAGCATCATCAGCATGATCATCAGCAGCAGCATCAGCATCGTCGTCATCATCACGATCGTCGTCATCAGCATCATCATCACAATCACCATCATCATCATCATCATCATCATCAGCATCAGCATGTCAGCATGTCAGCATCAGCATCATCCTCATCATCAGTAGCAGCAGCAGCATCATCACCACTATCGTCCTCATCATAATCATCATCAGCAGCATCAGCATCGTCATCATCAGCATCATCATCAACAGCATCATCGTCATCGTCATCACTATCGTCCCCCTCATCATCGTCATCATCACAATCACCAGTACCATCACAATCATCATCATAGCAACATCATCATCATCATCATCACCACCATCATCATCATCATCATCATCATCATCATCATCGTCATTATCATCGTCATAGTCATCGCCATCATCACCAGCAGCATCACCATCAGCAGATCATCTTCATGATCATCACTATCGTCTACAGCATCATCATCATCAGCAGCAACATCAGCATCAGCATCAGCATCAGCATCAGCATCAGCATCAGCATCATCATCATCATCATCATCATCATCATCATCATCATCATCGCCTTTATCATGATACAACCCCCTGGTGAACATGCTGCCGCGTGGGTTCACCTGCAGCCGCCCGCACTGGCAATGGGCCCAGCGCGCTGAAGGTGAACCTGCTGCCGGTTTGTTAAGCTATTGCCAGCCCCACCAGCGCTGTACCAAGAATCAAGTACGAGATCGACTGCAGAATTGATTTATCCCAGAATTGAAATGTTCGTCGAACCCATGCGAAAGACGTAGAACTGGTACCGAATCTGAAAAAATCTTGACGTTTGTGACATCTTTGTTAAAGATGAGATGATTGTTTCGATTCTGGAGTAAATCAATTATGTAGTCGATCTCCGAATCGAAATTCGCCAGCCCAACGGGCCAGAGGCGTGCTAAGATCTCCGGCAACTGGTTAACAATATTTCTAGTTCGCGCGCGCGGGGCGGCCCCTGGGGGTCCCCGGACAAAAAGTACCCCGGCAAGGTCCCGGGCAGGTCCCGGGCGGTCCGACTCAGATTTTGGTTTTCCTCCTGGGCGCCGCCCTCGAGGCCCTCCAGAGAGCCCCAAGAAGGGCGGCGAGGCCGCCCAGAGCCCCCCCAAGATGGTTCAGGAGTGCTCCGAGATACCACACGCTCGCTTCAAAACGCCCAAGATGGCTCCCAGGCTCCCAGACGCCCCAACAGGACCCCAAGAGGCGTCCCAAGAGGGCCCCAAGAGACAAAAATCGTCCCATTACTTGAGCAAAACTTCTTCTTTTTTTTGCAGATTCGCCACTTGAGCTTTCACAGCGTCAAAAGCGGCCCAAGAGGCCCCCAAGATCGCCCCAAGACGGCCCAAGAGGCCCCCAAGAGGGTCCAAAAACCGCCGCAGAGGGCCCAAGACGACCCAAGAGGCCTCCAAGACAGCCCAAGAGGCCCCCAAGACGGCTCCAAGAGGTCCAGACGGGAGACACGCACGGATATTTCGAGCCCTCGGCCCCGAGAGGCCCCCAGGAGTGCCCAAGAGGCCTCCGAAAGAGGCCCCCAAGAGGCCCTAAGATGCCCCCACGAGGCCCTCAGGAGGCCCCCAAGAGGCCCCCAAGCGGCCCCTGCAGGAGGCCCCCAAGCACGCAAGCAAGTGCCAGCGATGCTACAATATGGGCCGGCGGAATGAAGCGATTGAATAAAAGATCAGAGCAAGCAACCTCGGGCCTCGACTAGAGGCCTCCCAGATGGGGTCCGAGTAGATGGGGTCGGAGGATCACGCCGCATCGCCGCTACGTCGGCGATGCATCGGCGATGTATAGACGATGCGCCAGCGATACCTCGTCGACGTGGGCGATGCATGGGCGACGTCGACGTGAAGCTCCACATCGAGCCGCATCGGCGATGCATCGGCGGTGCGGCGCGATCCTCCGACCCCATCTACTCGGACCCCAATCTGGGAGGCCTAGATCAGCAACCTGAGGCTCCTGCCCCCCTCGCCCCCTCGCCCCCCGAGGCTCCCTCGCCCCCATCGCCCCCCTCGCCCCCTCGCCCCCCTCGCCCCCCGAGGCTCCTGACCCCCTCGCCCCCCTCGCCCCCCGAGGCTCCTGCGTGCCGACCAGGTCGCACACGCACAGCCGGAAGAGCCACGGGCTCTGCCCGAGGCCGCGCTCGGAGGCCTGCGACCGCGGCCGCGGCCGCGCCCCGGCAGGCGCCCGTCCGCCGAGGCCGCGGCCGGCGGCGGCGGCGGCGACGACGACGACGACGACGACGAGGGTGGCGGCGGCGGCGGCGACGGCGGCGGCGACGACGGCAACGACGGCGACGACGACGACGGCGGCGACGACAGCGACGGCGACAACGAGGGTGACGTCGACGACGACGACGAGGGTGGCAGCTGCGGCTGCAGCGGCGGCGGCGACGGACGGCAAGGACCAGAACCCCTCAGATCCGACGTCGCGAACAACTGGAAACGGCCTCGACCGGACCCCACTCTCTGCCTCTCTGCGCTCGACCGTCTCGCAGCGCGGATCGACGTGTGCGGCCCCGGGCCTCTGCCGGACGCGGCTCCCCGGCCCCCCCCCCTCCCCTTTCGTACGCGAGAGAGGGGGAGCGAAGAGCACTCAGACGTGGAAGTTGAGCAGGGACCGACCGTCCCGGCACTCCTATAGTCCTACCACGACATGTTCTCAGAACCCAAACATGTTCCAAGAACAAAGACAATGCTCTTAGAACATGAACCCGATGTGTTCGACCAAGACAGTCCCAGCCAGAAATGTTCTAAGAACATTTCGTGGAAACCCCAAAAGGTTCTTAGAACATTGTTTGGTAGGGCTGTAGGCGAGCCAGGACGCTTCGCCACTGGTTGAGGAAGAGCTCCGCGCCGAGCGGGCCAGGGCGGCCGGCCGTGGCAGCGGCGACCACGGCAGCAGCCGAGCCGGTCCGAGGGCGCACCCGCGGGCGCTGCCAGGGCTAAGTCGGGCCTGTCCCCCTACAGGGGGATTTCCGACGAAAAATAACACATACCCCCAAAAATACCCCCAAGAAGGTCAAAACATATTCAAAAAATAGTCCCCAGACTATTTTTAGACTACAGTATGTTTTGACTATGTTTGGGGTATTTCTTGTTTTTCGTAGAAGATCCCCCTGTAGGGGGACACGCCCGACTTAATGCCAGGGCCCAGTGGCGGTGTCGAGCAAGCGGCTGGAGCAGTGCAGGAGTCCAGGGGCCGGCCACAGGCAGCAAAGAGGTCTACGCACACAACCCAGCCCCCCGGCGCCAGGTTTTTGTTCATAACGTCGACCCTCAGCGGTCTCGATCCTTTCCCTGGGACCGGCTTTTCATCCTGGGTCGTTTTGTGACGGCCCCGAGGGCCGGGGAGGGCTCTCGGAGGCTGAGAGTATGGAAAAACCTCCCATCATGATTTTGTGAATTACCCCCGGGGGTCCGGGAGACATAAGACGTCCTAATTTTTTTCATTTTTTCAGGACGGCGTCCCTGGAAGCCCCGACCCTTTCCCCAGGAGCCTCCCCCTCCTCCTCCCCCCTCCTCCTCCTCCGGAGAAGCCTTCCACAAGAAACCCAATAACCCTGAGACCCCAGGACGTCCACCGATTCCTGGTGCGGGAGCGCCACGCCTCCCACGGCAGAAACGGGCGAGGCCCAGGACACCCAGGGCACCCCGGAGGCGAGCAGGGTGCTTCTTGGCACAGGCCTCCCCTGTCGATCCCGCGGCCCGACCTGGACCCCCATCTCGGGGTCCGTCCTGGCCAGCTCTTCGAGCCCCGGCCACGGGACCTCTATAGGGAGCGCCCCCAAAAAGAGCTCCCCAGAACGGCGCGGCCCCTCCTCGGGGGCGGCCAAGAGGGGGGCGTCCAAGAGGGGGGGGGGCGCAAATCATGGCCGGCGGCGTGTGCGCGGCCCAGGGGGGTGGGCCGGGGAAGTAATGACATTGAAATAAGAAAGGGCGCCATGAAATCTGAGGAAACATCATGACCCACGCCATGATATCCACACCCCCCGAGTCATCACCCCTCTCTCTTTGCCGCCCCCGTCCTCCCCCGTCCTCCGACGATCTCGACTCGGTCCCCCGGGGCTGGCCTTTCATCTCCCGGATCTCTAGCTCCGGGCTGCCTCCAGGGGCCAGAAAAAGCGGCCTCCAGAGCCCAAAATAACGCAGAAACAAGAAAAGCTGGCCGCCCTGAACTTCTGCTTCCCCGCCCAGAGCTGCAGGCCGTTCTCGCTCGGTGGATGGCAGCCGACCGCCTCACCGATTCTGGTCATGCCCCTCCTTGAGGGGCGGCAACGATAGGGGGGGACTGGCATAGGGGGGGATGCATCGACCTGGAATCGGCGATACATCGCCGATAGATCGGCGATATAGGCCTCCGATAGTGAGTCCGCACCCTCCCGGGCGGGCTGGGGCTATATGAGGCCCCCGTCGGCGATCCGTGGGCGACTGTGGGTCGATGCGGCCCCCCCCTGTGCCGGTCACCCCCCGTCGTTGCCCCCCGACTCCTGGGCCCGGGACAGGCCCCGTCGGGCTCGCTGCCAGTGGGCGGCCGCCGTCCCATCGGGGGGGCGCCCGGGGAGGAGGCCGACCCTCGTCGGAGGGCGGCGGTGCCTCTCGGACGCCGCCCTGCCCTCCGGGAGGCCCGCCGAGCCTCGTCGTCCGAGGCCACGGCAGGCGGCTTCTCTCTCTCTCCCCGAAGGCCCCAGGGGCCTCCAGGGAGCCCCACGGGCTCCGGAGAGGGCGAGGGGGGGAGGGGGGGAGGGAGGGAGGGAGGGAGGGAGGGAGGGAGGAGAGGGGGGGGGGGGGAGGGAGGGAGGGAGGGAGGGAGGGAGGGGGGGAGGGAGGCAGGGAGGGAGGGAGGGGCGGCTGGGCCCCTCCGCCCTCCTGCGAGGCGGGGGCGGATCCAGAGCCACCGCCCGGGGGCTGGACCTTCGAGGGCCGCGGTTGGCGGCGACAAGGGGCGGCCTGGGCCCCCCCGGCGCCCCCCCCAAAATCCATGTCCATCTGGAGGGAGAAAAACACGCCAGAAACATAAACGTTTGGCGCTCCGCGCGGATGTCTCGGATCCGCGCTGGACCCCCCTCCCTGGCGTGCTCCGCGCGCCAGGGGCGGCGCCAGAGGCGCCGCCAAGGGAGCCCAGCGCAGATCCAAGGTATCCACACGGAGCGCCAGAAGTTTATGTTTATGGCGTGCTTTCTTTTTCGACCCTAGCGCCCCCAACAAAAAACCATGTCCATCGCCTGCCGAGGTCCCCCAGATCAGGCGTTGGCAGAACTGGGTTCAGTGGGACCTGGTTTGGGGATGTGCACTGGAGGATGCTCCCCCGCCCCGTTCCACTGACCGGAACTGCCGTCACCCGAAACAGCACCGACTATACGGGCTCCAGGGCCCAACCACTGACCGGGTCCTCTGACCTGGATCCCTGGCTATACTGTTGCGTCGCTCATCTTCCAAAAGCAGTTGGCGCCTTGGAAGAAGTCCTCCGCAGGAAGGGATTCGCAACAGGCCTATACGCCCCGCTAGGGGCGCCGCCCCGCGGGGCCTGCGAGGACCTTCCCCCCAAACTCCTGAGCCTCCTCCTCCTTGTCGTCCTCCTCCTCCTCCTCCTCCTGTTTCCTCCTCCTCCTCCTCCTCCTCCACCACCTCCTCCTACTCCTCGTCCTCCTCCTCCTCCTCCGCCTCCTGCTTCCTCCTCATCCTCCGTAGCCATATGGGCCCCCGAGAAAGGGGTCCGCACGCTCCTTGGGCGGGGCAGGCTATCGGACACCCTACCAGCGATCCATCCGCGATTGTAGAGGCCTCCTAGATGGGGTCCGAGTACATGGGGTTGGAGGATCGCGCCGCATCGCCAATGCATCGGCGACGCATCGGCGATGCACCGGCGATGCATCGTCGACGTGGGCGATGCATCGGCGACGTCGGGGTGCGGGAACACGGGCTACGCGTCGAACCGCATCGTCGATGCATCGGTGATGCGGCGTGATCCTCCGACCCCATCTACTCTGACCCATCCAAAAGGCCTAGAGATTGGGGGCCGATGCATCCCCACCGAGCCCATCCCCTGGTGGTTTTCGCATCTCGGGCCTCCGGCAGCCCGCTTGGGAGGACCTGGGCTCTCCCGCGAGCGCGCTCGGCGAGGCGCGGCCGCCAGAAGGCACCCCGAGGCCCGAACGCCGCCTGCAGAACCAACGAGCACGCCCGAAGACCTCGAGCCTCGAAGCCCGATCCCCCCGAATTTGGGGGCGAAAACCAAATAGCTGTGGAATAAACTTCTCCGCCGTCGGGGGCGCCTGCCCCCCGGGCGGCGGCAAAGTTTCTGCCCCTGCGGTGCCACGCAGAGGTACAAACTGTCCAGCTGCCTGGGGGGGCAGGCGTCCCCGACGGCGCAACAAAAATGGTGTGACTCCGCTTTTCGCCCGCCAACCGAACGCTGCCCCGCCAGCCCTCCTCGGCGAAAGAGCGGGCAGCTCAGGGCATGGAAGGTTGAGCCGGCCCAAGTGGCCTTCGCACTCCGCGTGCAGAAGCGGTGCTCGGCCCTCGAGATGCAGCCTCCCGCAGCGGAGGCGACACTGGATAGTGCCATGAAGGACTGCTCGGAGGCTCAAAAAACAACTGTGGGAAAACACACACACACACTGTGGGCAAAAAACACACTGTGGGGAAAAACACACTGTGTGTTTTTGTGTGTTTCGTGTGTGTTTTATGTGTGTGTGTGTGTTTCCCACAGTGTGTGTGTGTGTGTGTGTGTTTTTGTGTGTGCTTTCCCCACAGTGTGTTTGTGTGTTTTTCCCACGGGCTCAAGCAGCAGCGCAGAGGCGGCGGGCCTCCGCGAGGCACAGCTGCCACGCGAACGCGCACCGCCCGCTCCACACGGCCTGCGTCTGCCTCGCGGGCGCGCGCAGGCCGCCCTCGGACAGCGCGCCTGGGCGCGGCCGCGCGCCGCGGGCGCGCGCGGGCGCGCGCCGATGACCGCCCGCCGTCCGCCCCCCGCGCTCGTCGCCACACACACACACACACACACACACACACCAAAAAACACACACACACACACACACACACTGTGGGGAAACACACACACACAAAACAAAACAAAAAACACACACACACATATGCTGTGGGAAAAAACACACACAGATGGAGTGCGAGCACATGGGGTCGGAGGATCACGCCGCATCGCCAATGCGTCAGCGACGCATCGGCGATGCATCGCCGACGTCGGCCGCGCATCGGCGACGTCGGCGTCGAGAAAATCGGGCTCCGCATCGAGCCGCACTGCCAATGCATCTTCAGTGCGGCGCGATCCTCCGACCCTATCTACTCCGACCCCATCTCGGAGGCCTGGAGTCCAAGAGTCGTAGAGGGGGGGGTCGCAACCCGTGGCCCGGAGCACGTGCGCGGACGCAGGGCGAGGGAGGGAATGAGAACCAGCGCGATGCGAATCGTGCGCAGACGCGGGGGGGGGGGCGCGTGGAAAGAGGGAGGGGGAGCCATGGAACCCGGGGAGGTCGCATGGCCCTGGCTGTGAGATCCACCCCCTGGTCGTCACCCCTCTCCCGGCCGCTCCCCGACGTCGTCGCGAACGCGTCCGCCGCAGCCGTCGCCGTCGCCGCTGCCGCCGCCGCCGCCGGAGGAAGAGGAGGAGGAGGCGGAGGTGGAGGAGGAGGAGGAGGAGGAGGAGGAGGAGGAGGAGGAGGAGGAGGGAGAGGAGGAGAGGAGGAGGAGGAGGAGGAGGAGGAGGAGGAGGAGGAGGAGGAGGAGGTCGAGGAGGAGGAGGAGGGGCGACCTCCCCCGCCTGGCGGAGGACCTCCCCCAACCCTCCTCCCGGACCCCTCCGGACACCCCCCCCGTGCCCCGTGCCCGCCCCCGGCCCCCCCCTTGCGTGCCCCGTGCGCCTCCCCATGCCCCGTGCCCCCCCCCTCCTTCGAGGACGGGGGCCCTCCCCCTCGACCCCTCCCTGGCGCGGAACCTCCCCCGCCCCCCCCCTCGTGCCCCGTGCCCCACCTCCCTCCCCCAGGAGCGGGGCCAGGTCGGCCCCCCCCCCGCCCACTCCGGCCTTCTCCTCCCCCCAGCGTGTTTTGTTCGATTCCATCGCTCTCTCTTCTCTCTCTCTATCTCGCAGGAGGAGGAGGAGGAGGAGGAGGAGGAGGAGGAGGAGGAGAGGAGAAGGAGGAGATGGAGGAGATGGAGGAGAGGAGGAGAGGAGGAAGGAGGAGGAGGAAGAGGAGGGAGGGGAGAGGAGGATGGAAGAGGGAGGAGGAGGAGAGAGGGAGGAGGAGGGAGGAGGAGGAGGAGGAGGAGGAGGAGGAGGAGGGAGAGTCTGGAATGGGGGCTGGGCTTCGACCTGCACCAGCAAGGTCCTCGATGCATCTTCCGCGCCCCTCTGCTGAGGCCTCTGGGGGCGCCCTCGCGCCCGCGACTCGAGCCAGCTCAAGGATCCAGCCAGGACTGGTCAGGTGGTAAGCTACTGGGTCGTGCCGACGCTGGCTCCTGGTGAACGCTTTTTATTCGGCGTTTCGACATTGGGCGGAAGGAGGGGGGAGGGGGGGGGGAGGGCTGGCTCTGGACCTCTGCTCTGAATGCGGCTGTCTACAGCAGTGCGTCCAGTGGAGGAGGCCCCACCTGCTCGAAACGGGCGCCAAAAACAGCCAAGACCTGCTCCATTAGGGGGGGCTTTTGCAATTTGCTCGCGCGAGGCTCGGATCCTTGCGAATCTTCCCGAAGGCCCGAGCAGCAGGAGGAGGAGGAGGAGGAGGAGGAGGAGGAGGAGGAGGAGGAGGAGGAGGGGAGGAGCAGGAGGAGGAGGAGCCGGAGGAGCAGGAGGAGGAGGAGGAGGAGGAGGAGGAGGAGCAGGAAGAGGAGGAGGAGGAGGAGGAGGGGAGGGGGGGGGCCCGCGCCGACGGGCAACACACTCAATCAGAAAACGACCACCTGCGGGGCGCAGCAGGCCGCGCCGGCACTCCTCGGGCCCCTGCCGGAGGCGCACGCCTGGCCCGGACAGCGTGCCGCACGCGGGCAGCGCGGCCCCGCCGCTGCCCGAGCGGCTTGGCCAGGAGGGCGCACGCCGCGGGTGATGCTTCAGCGCGCGCGCGCGCACCGCCCCTGCGGGAGCGGCGCACTCATCGAATACACACAAGAGTGACCCTGGGTGAGAGTGACCTTTGGTGCGCGGTTCATTGAGGGCCGCGGGGGGACCAAACACGAGCGCGCAAGATGCTACCACCACATCGCGTTCGGCGATGGGGGGGCCCCATTTGGCCCGCACCAAAGGTCACTCCGGCGAAAGGTCACTCTTACGTCTAGTCGAGCGACGCACTCACGGCACGGGCACGCGTTGAGTCCGACCGGTGCTGGGGCGCGGGCGGGAGTGGTCAGAGCCCGCCGACTCGGTCGAGCGGATGTCTGGAGCCCGGCTGGTCCTGAGACGTGGGCAGGGAGTGGCCGGAACCCTGCGGCTCGGTCGGGCAGGAAGGGGTGCCCCGGGGCCCGCCGTGGAGCGGGCTTCTGGTCTGCGGCATGGCGACGGTGGCGGCCTGAAGAAGAGAGCAAAGTGCCAGCCAGCGTGGACCCCAAACAGCGTGTTTCTGACAAGCTGCGTTGTGCAATCCATGTGGAGCAATGTGTGTGGTGCAATGTGGTGCAATCTACTTTGTGCAATAATCTTGACCGTCTTGAAGCTGTCCTCTCCGCTGCTCGTGCAAACATCCCACCCTCCCACCCGCAACTTGGTCGCAAGACCTCTTCAGACAAGACCGTGACGGTAGGTACCACATGGCACTTGGCCACGACACCGATGCCGACGACGACAGCGACATCGACGAGGACGGCGCCGCCGACAGCGACTGCGACGACACCGACGACGTCTCCAAAGTTTTCGACGGCGACAACGACGACGACGACACCGACGACAACGACAACGACGCCAACAACGACGACGACGAAGACGACGACGACGTCGCCAACGGAGACGACGACGAGGGAGGAGAAAAAACGACGACGGCGACAACGACGACAACGACGATGGAGGAGGGAAGACGGCGACGACGCCAACGACGAAGAAGGAGGAAGGACGGCGACGCCGACGACGACAACGACGAGGGAGAAGGGAAGACGACGACGATGACAACGACGACGAAGACGACGACGACGGCGACGAAATGAAAGGACGACGACGAGACGCCGACGACGGACGACGACGACGAGGGAGGAGGATAACGACGAGGGAGGAGTGAAGACCACGACGACGACGACGACGACGACGACGGCGACGAAATAGGAGGGACAACGACGAGACGCCGACGAAGACAACGAGGGAGGAAGGACGACCACGGCGACAACGACGACGGAAACGACGACGACGCCAAGACGACGACAACGACGACGAGGAAAGACAGAAGACGACGACGGCGACGGACGACGACGACGACGACGAGGGAGGAGGGAGGACGACGACGACGACGACGACGCAAGAGCGCGCGCGCACGCTTTTGTTGAAAATCCGTGTTGCGAAACCTTGGGTTCTTGTAGGTTTTTTGGACGCACGATTTTGAAATCCTTCTGGAACCGATGGTTTTTGAAGGATTTCGGCATACGCCCGCGACGACGCGCGCGTCTGCACTTCGTCCAATTTTTTGCAGAGGATTCTCGCGACGGCACACGCGCAAGGGCGTTCGACAGATTTCGACATGCGCGCGCGCGAAGCCCGTTTGGTAGCATGTTGTGAACATCTTGGAAAACCTGTAGTTTTCTTAAGATTTCGCAAGACCTCACGCGGAAGTTTTTTTAGCAAATCAGTGTTGCGAAACCATGTGTTTTTGTATGTTTTTCGGGAACTCGATTGCGAAATCCGTCCGGCATCGAAGGTTTTTGAAGGATTTCGGCATGCGCGCGCGACGACGCGCGCGTGTGCACTTCGTCCCATTTTTTGCAAGGGATTCGTGAACAAGTGTTATGTTAGAACAAAAAATGTCACCGCATAGTGTTTTTTACAAGGGACCCGCAGGGGGGGGGAACCCGGCTTGGCTGGGATGGTATGAATTCATATTTAGGATGGACATGTGGTCAGAATCATATGTAATTTACAACACGCGCGGGGTAACCGATAAGTCCGGGGGGGGGGTAGAATCTATTAGTCTTTCAGAAAGGAGAATCAACAGTGGTGCGACCTATGAGGTATACTGTGTATATGTATTGGTTGCGCGATCTACATATTCCTCTTCCTATATTTTTATAAGCCCGAGCGGGGGGGAAACCCATCCCCCCCCCAAAAAAAAAACTGATCCCCGGGACCTGGGGCTTTGGGGCCCTCCAGACGGGCCTCGAAGCGGCCACTGGGCCTCGCAAGGCGTTTTGCCAAGCCGTCTCAGCACACTTAGGGCGATCAGGGGGTCATCGGAGACGTCCCAGAGACCCCCAAGACAGCACAAGAGCGCTCCAAAAGTGACCGACGTGACCTCGAGATGGCCCAAGAGGCCTCCAGGACGGCCCCAAAGAGGCCTCCAAGAGCACTCCCAAGAAGGCCCCCCGAGGCAAAAATCATTGATTTTCTGCTGGTTTTTGGTGAATTTTGGGGTTCTCCTCTTTTCGGCTTCCCGACGCTCCATGACGGCGGTCTTCCGGGCGTCCGAAGCCGCCTGGGAGGCTCCCAAATCGCCCCATAACCATCCGAAAAGGCTTCCAGGCAATCCAAAAGAGCCCCAAAACGGCACAACACGGGTCCAAGATGGCCCTCAGAGAGCCCCATGGCGGCCCAAGATGGCCCAAAGACACCTTCCGAAGAATTCCAAATCGTGATTCGGTCGTTCAGGGAGACGGCGTTTGGAGGCAGGGTGGCCCGAGGAAGCCCCCAGAGGCCCCCAAAATACGCCCAGGAGGCCTCCAGAAGGCCTTAAGAAAGCCCGAAACAACTTTTGTGAGGCCCCTAGA